CCAGTACAGTGGTCAGAATTTAGCAATTTTGCCAATTTCACACAAATTTCAAAAGATGCCAATTTCGGAATAGGGTCCAGAATAAACAAGAAAGACATTCCTGGCACTAAAATGACATTTCCTCTAGTCATTAGTCACATCTCAAGGCCCCTCTTGTATTCTTTTGCTTTCCACTTTGAATTTTTATTCTCACAAAAAATATAAGATTTACTGTTATGCAGACTACTGCATTAGTGTAAAAAATGGTATAAATATTATTGGTGCACTTGTGAAAGAATATTAGACTCACCAGTTGACGTGTATTGCATGCTTGGCACGATTTGTTTACTTTTGAAGTTTGGTAAAAATCGAACATTTCTGCTACTTTGAGCTCAATTTCAAGGCACCTTTCATTGTAAAATCAGTCAAAATCGTCTCAATTTCAGTAATATGTCTTCCATTCTATAAAATGAGACCAAGAAAACTAGAATACAACAATAAATACCATACGAAAATACACTGCAAAGTCGCTGATTTATTAAAAAAAAATGGAAAAAGTTTTTTTTTTCTCATTATGCACTGTGTGCTGCAGGATTTTTTTTAGACTGTGCACACTGACCACATAGACCCATTCTTTCATATGAAGGCCTACCAGCTTTCTCCCACTAGATTTGAGGTTGCTAGAATTTATGAGTACTAGTACGTCAAAAACCCCTACGCGTAAGACGTACTAGTACGACGAAAACCCTCAAAGGGTTAATTGTTTCTCATTTATCCACACCAATAACAACTTCTCAATATCTTCGAGTACTGGTGATCTCATTTTTGTCAGCATATATACCCCCTTTGCAACAACAGCGTCCATGATTTCCTTTTTCTTGGCTATGATGGAAGATATGGTTGTATGGGATTTGTTATACATCCTGGCCAGTTCGCCCACACGTACGCCACAATCATATTGTTCAATGTTGTTTTTCTTAAATTCAATCGTATTTCTCACCTTCTTTACCAAAGGCTTGGCACTAGGAGCTTTCTTTGGAGCCATGGTAGCTTATTTAGCACTTAAATAACTTGCAAGCAGTAAAATAAATGAAATATTATGAAATATTTCGCTGGAGCACGTGAGGGGACCGTCGCTCACTGGTAAACAATGGCACACTGGCTGGGAAGGAAAGGCCGAGGCGGCTCGAGGCGGCTCAGACCATGAGTACGCATCCAGGATGAAGGACTATTAGCGAGTTACCGGACCATTTCCGAGCCAATATTTTGACGAAAAAACAGGACTATTTCCAAAACGGATGACTTTCAGGCCGGACGATTATTGAGGGACCACTGTACATCATTTCACTGTTGAAAAGACAGTCAAATGGAAGACTGATGAAGGTGCCTTAAATACACCACACACTGTGGGTGACCACTTTATGTTCACGTTGCATAACTTTTTAGTGCCTTTTATCTTGGATTTTTGTCACTGTGGTATATTATAACAGAGGAGAGCTTAACTAATCTAACCTTACCGAGAAATTTGCTGCAAGTAATATATGAAGAATCTACTTAGATGTTGGGAGGACAGGGTGTAATGGCATATTAACTACTTGATGTTAAAAATTCAAAGGAAGTCTTTTATTGATTCTTAATACAACGAAGAGTAATCTACCTTACTTTTGAAATAACAAGTAGATTCTTTTGCAAAATGTATACCTGGCCACCTCAAGAACAGGGAGCACCAAGAAATACCAAAGTATTAAAAATATATCTACTTATTGGTAGGTAAACTATGCCATAGGTGAATAATGTTTATATCAGGAGATAAACTTCAAAAAAAAAAAATAAGAATAAGAAGAAGAAAATTGTCAAAGTGGGAAGTCTGAATGTGCGTGGATGTTGTGCAGATGATAAGAAAGAGATGATTGTGGATGTTATTGAATGAGAAGAAGCTGGATGTCCTGGCTTAAGTGAAACAAAGCTGAAGGGGGTGGGAGAGTTTCAGTGGAGAGGAATAAATGGGATTAGGTCAGGGGTTTCAAATAGAGTTAGAGCTAAAGAAGGAGTAGCAATAATGTTGAAGGATAAGCTATGGCAGGAAAAGAGGGACTATAAATGTATTAATTCAAGGATTATGTGGAGTAAAATAAAGATTGGATGTGAAAAGTGGTTATAATAAGCGTGTATGCACCTGGAGAAGAGAGAAGTGTAGAGGAGAGAGAGAGATTTTGGGAAATGTTGAGTGAATGCGTGGGGAGTTTTGAATCAAGTGTGAGAGTAATGGTGGTTGGGGATTTTAATGCTAAAGTGGGTAAAAATTTATGGAGGGAGTAGTAGGTAAATTGGGGTGCCAGGGGTAAATGTAAATGGGGAGCCTTTAATTGAGCTATGTGTAGAAAGAAATTTGGTAATAAGTAATACATATTTTATGAAAAGAGGATAAATAAATATACAAGGTATGATGTAGCACGTAATGAAAGTAGTTTATTAGATTATGTATTGGTGGATAAAAGGTTGATGGGTAGGCTCCAGGATGTACATGTTTATAGAGGGCAACTGATATATCGGATCATTATTTAGTTGTAGCTACAGTTAGAGTAAGAGGTAGATGGGAAAAGAGAAGGTGGCAACAACAAGTAAGAGGGAAGTGAAAGTGTATAAACTAAGGAGGAGGAAGTTCGGGTGAGATATAAGCGACTATTGGCAGAAAGGTGGGCTAGTGCAAAGATGAGTAGTGGGGGGGTTGAAGAGGGTTGGAATAGTTTTAAAAATGCAGTATTAGAATGTGGGGCAGAAGTTTGTGGTTATAGGAGGGTGGGGGCAGGAGGAAAGAGGAGTGATTGGTGGAATGATGAAGTAAAGGGTGTGATAAAAGAGAAAAAGGTAGCTTATGAGAGGTTTTTACAAAGCAGAAGTGTTATAAGAAGAGCAGAGTATATGGAGAGTAAAAGAAAGGTAAAGAGAGTGGTGAGAGAGTGCAAAAGGAGAGCAGATGATAGAGTGGGAGAGGCACTGTCAAGAAATTTTAATGAAAATAAGAAAAAATTTTGGAGTGAGTTAAACAAGTTAAGAAAGCCTAGGAAAATATGGATTTGTCAGTTAAAAACAGAGTAGGGGAGTTAGTAGATGGGGAGATGGAGGTATTGGGTAAGATGGCGAGAATATTTTGAGGAACTTTTAAATGTTAAGGAAGAAACAGAGGCATTAATTTCATGCACTGGTCAGGGAGGTATACCATCTTTTAGGAGTGAAGAAGAGCAAATGTAGTGTGGGGGAGGTACGTGAGGCATTACGTAAAATGAAAGGGGGTAAAGCAGCTGGAACTGATGGGATCATGACAGAAATGTTAAAAGCAGGGGGGGATATAGTGTTGGAGTGTTGGTACTTTGTTTAATAAATGTATGAAAGAGGGGAAGGTACCTAGGGATTGGCAGAGAGCATGTATAGTCCCTTTATATAAAGGGAAAGGGGACAAAAGAGACTGTAAAATTATAGAGGAATAAGCTTATGAGTATACCAGAAAAGTGTACGGTAGGGTTTAATTGAAAGAATTAGAGGTAAGACAGAATGTAGGATTGCGGATGACAAGGAGGTTTTAGAGTGGGTAGGGGATGTGTAGATCAGGTGTTTACATTGAAGCATATATGTGAACAGTATTTAGATAAGATAGGAAGTTTTTATTGCATTTATGGATTTAGAAAAGGCATATGATAGAGTGGATAGAGGAGCAATGTGGCAGATGTTGCAAGTATATGGAATAGGTGGTAAGTTATTAAATGCTGTAAAGAGTTTTTATGAGGATAGTGAGGCTCAGGTTAGGGTTGTGTAGAAGAGAGGGAGACTACTTCCCGGTAAAAGTAGGTCTTAGACAGGGATGGTAATGTCACCATGGTTGTTTAATATATTTATAGATGGGGTTGTAAAGGAAGTAAATGCTAGGGTGTTTGGGAGAGGGGTGGGATTAAATTATGGGGAATCAAATTCAAAATGGGAATTGACACAGTTACTTTTTGCTGATGATACTGTGCTTATGGGAGATTCTAAAGAAAAATTGCAAAGGTTAGTGGATGAGTTTGGGAATGTGTGTAAAGGTAGAAAGTTGAAAGTGAACATAGAAAAGAGTAAGGTGATGAGGGTGTCAAATGATTTAGATAAAGAAAAATTGGATATCAAATTGGGGAGGAGGAGTATGGAAGAAGTGAATGTTTTCAGATACTTGGGAGTTGACGTGTCGGCGGATGGATTTATGAAGGATGAGGTTAATCATAGAATTGATGAGGGAAAAAAGGTGAGTGGTGCGTTGAGGTATATGTGGAGTCAAAAACCGTTATCTATGGAGGCAAAGAAGGGAATGTATGAAAGTATAGTAGTACCAACACTCTTATATGGGTGTGAAGCTTGGGTGGTAAATGCAGCAGCGAGGAGACGGTTGGAGGCAGCGGAGATGTCCTGTTTAAGGGCAATGTGTGGTGTAAATATTATGCAGAAAATTCGGAGTGTGGAAATTAGGAGAAGGTGTGGAGTTAATAAAAGTATTAGTCAGAGGGCAGAAGAGGGGTTGTTGAGGTGGTTTGGTCATTTAGAGAGAATGGATCACAGTAGAATGACATGGAAAGCATATAAATCTATAGGGGAAGGAAGGCGGGGTAGGGGTCGTCCTCGAAAGGGTTGGAGAGAGGGGTAAAGGAGGTTTTGTGGGTAAGGGGCTTGGACTTCCAGCAAGCGTGCGTGAGCGTGTTAGATAGGAGTGAATGGAGACGAATGGTACTTGGGACCTGACGATCTGTTGGAGTGTGAGCAGGGTAATATTTAGTGAAGGGATTCAGGGAAACCGGTTATTTTCATATAGTCGGACTTGAGTCCTGGAAATGGGAAGTACAATGCCTGCACTTTAAAGGAGGGGTTTGGGATATTGGCAGTTTGGAGGGATATGTTGTGTATCTTTATATGTTTATGCTTCTAGACTGTTGTATTCTGAGCACCTCTGCAAAAACAGTGATAATGTGCGAGTGTGGTGAAAGTGTTGAATGATGATGAAAGTATTTTCTTTTTGGGGATTTTCTTTCTTTTTTGGGTCACCCTGCCTCGGTGGGAGACGGCCGACTTGTTGAAAAAAAAAAAAAAAAAAAAAAATAAACTTCATGGAATGTAGCTCCATACATGCTCTTATAAATTTATTATTAAAAAAATAGATCAACTATTGGACTAGGGAACACATGTGAATAGCATAATATACCATGCAAGAACAGTAATGTATTCTGAAATTACAATGACACAAATCAATGAATATAAATCCAATGCATAAATGGGACAAAAACTAGGGTCAGGAAAATTTCCAAATATATATTAAACAAGAAATGAATAAAGATCATAATGAATGGCTCAGTTTAAACACATCTGCTCTTTGGTTCAGTAAAATAGTTAGCATGCAGGACAGGAAATGCTCTGTGCTAGACCCCAGGGGTAAGCACCACTAGGTAGCAGTTGCCTTGCAGTTAATGGATGAAAGAGAGCCATCACCACTCTTGTACTGAATGACCTGTGAGAGTTTAGCTCATTACAAGTACATGTAAATCCAGAATCAAGCTCAAATATAGAGAGCACTCTAGAATTAATTTCGATACTTCATGCCAATGTGAACTTAAAACGGTTGATGAGCATGAGTAACTGGCATAGGTTAGATCAATAATTCCCACGCAGTGGGTGGGTGAGCAGACCTCTAGAGGCACTCGATGGAGGATCAAGCCTCCACCATGCCTTGTGGTGAATGACCCAAATGGGTTTAGCACTTAATTTATTTTTTAAGGATTTCAGTAAGTGAATGCATCCACCTGTTGGGATATTGCTTAAAGTTATTTTGGAATTGTCATGAAAACAATATTAACCAACCTCAGTCCTCCTCAGACCTTGGCTAGCTTGAGTGAAAAATGTGACCAGTTTCTCCTTTTGTTTTCATTTTGATACGTTATAAGAACTGTAATGCAAAGTTCAGGAGTTATTGCTGTTCAACCCTTCTTACCTGTCTTCTTGCATGCATGAAGAGAACTTGTTATAAAAACTAGTATAAGTGGTAGACATTCTTCTGGCTTTGAATAAATTAAACCCAAGTCTCTAATGTGTCAGTGTTTAACATACAAGTAAAAACAACGATAAAAAAAAAAATTACGTTCTCGACAAGCTGTGTACATGCAAATTTCATTCATTGTTTTCCAATGCTATTAGAATTCATTAAAACAAATGAAATCATTTGGATGAGACTGTGAAAGGCCTTATAACTGAACATCTCAAGCAACTGAGCCAGTAGCTATAGGTGCAATTTCCTCGAGGGCCTTCCTCAGATGGACCGACAATCCACTTGAAGTTTCTCCCTTTCCCATGCCTGTTATTTCACAAACAGAAGCAGATAATGGTGTTATCGTCTGATGAGGGACTGAAAAACTATTTGTGGATTTCTGGGCATAAGTCATGGAAGAGTATCCAGACTTATTCAAGCGAGCCTTGAGGACAATGACTACCTTCACCACAAAGTACTTACGTGAGGTTGTTTTTTCTGTGCTCGCAGAAGTAAAGACAAAGCATCACCAGAGGATGGATGCAGATAAAGAGCAAAGAATTAAACTACTCAAAATTGCTCCCAACTTTGCCAAACTTTTTGCCAAAATGCAGACCACTCAGTTGCATTGATAGGTAAGCAGCAATATACCAAAAATATTTTTAATTGCCTTAGTTCTTATTATTTTGCATTATCATTCATATTCACAAGATATCATGTCAGCTTTTTGAAAAACTCTCTAGTATCTCTCAGTAAAGTTCTTAACATGTGTCTGTATAAAGAAGATAATGGAATAGTCATAATACATGTGGTCCTAAACACCAAGGTACAAGTGAGGATGGGAAGGTGGGGAAAGGAGGGCAGACTTAGTCGTAGTTTGGGTGTACATGGCCTAAAATATTTGAGAACCCCTAGGTTAAACCATGCTAGAGATAGATGCTCAAGTGCCAGATAAAATGTGGATTGGGGTCATGATGCTCTGAAAAGCTCAGCTAAAATTTATTGGCTCTTGGATTCTGGTTTACTTTTGTCATAGAGCAATGTTAGAATGAGGATCTGGGAATCCTCCAAACCCCATTAATTTACTTAAAAAAATTTATCACAGATTCACAGGTTAATAGTTTTAAAAAATTAATGCAATTTTGTTTAGTATCTCGCATAATTATGGTACCATTCTTCACCAGCAAATACTATACACTGCTCAACAACATCTGGAAAAAAATTAAATTATTATATGTTATGAAGTATTAACAGGCAATGCTTTCTTGTCTTCTATATTGCCATTAGATGTAGAAGATACACTTGGAGGAGAATTAACAGTATTTTGAGCTTTGGCAGCTTTCAGAATTTGATCTGCTCCTTTATCTAACAATGTCTGAGCTAAGGATTTTCCCAGCTGGTTAGCCCTAGTCATGACATCCTTTTGCTCAGGGAGAGGAACTATACCACAGAAGGTGATGCAAGTCTTTGCTATCTTTTTTGGTGGTCGGAGAGAGTCAGAAGAAGTGTCAGGCTCCCGGGTTAAGATGGTCATGGTATGCACAAGTTCCTCAGAGCCATCCAGGCTCCACACTCCACCTTTGAGAGTCAAACTGTCCTCCATCACCTGAAACAAGAGATGCAAATTTTTTTTTTTTTTTCAACAAGTCGGCCGTCTCCCACCGAGGCAGGGTGACCCAAAAAAGAAAGAAAATCCCCAAAAAGAAAATACTTTCATCATCATTCAACACTTTCACCACACTCGCACATTATCACTGTTTTTGCAAAGGTGCTCAGAATACAACAGTCTAGAAGCATACACATATAAAGATACACAACATATCCCTCCAAACTGCCAATATCCCAAACCCCTCCTTTAAAGTGCAGGCATTGTACTTCCCATTTCCAGGACTCAAGTCCGACTATATGAAAATAACCGGTTTCCCTGAATCCCTTCACTAAATATTACCCTGCTCACACTCCAACAGATCGTCAGGTCCCAAGTAAACCCTTCGTCTCCATTCACTCCTATCTAACACGCTCACGCACGCTTGCTGGAAGTCCAAGCCCCTTACCCACAAAACCTCCTTTACCCCCTCTCTCCAACCCTTTCGAGGACGACCCCTACCCCGCCTTCCTTCCCCTATAGATTTATATGCTTTCCAAAGTCATTCTACTTTGATCCATTCTCTCTAAATGACCAAACCACCTCAACAACCCCTCTTCTGCCCTCTGACTAATACTTTTATTAACTCCACACCTTCTCCTAATTTCCACACTCCGAATTTTCTGCATAATATTACACCACACATTGCCCTTAAACAGGACATCTCCACTGCCTCCAACCGTCTCCTCGCTGCTGCATTTACCACCCAAGCTTCACACCCATATAAGAGTGTTGGTACTACTATACTTTCATACATTCCCTTCTTTGCCTCCATAGATAACGTTTTTTGACTCCACATATACCTCAACGCACCACTCACCTTTTTTCCCTCATCAATTCTATGATTAACCTCATCCTTCATAAATCCATCCGCCGACACATCAACTCCCAAGTATCTGAAAACATTCACTTCTTCCATACTCCTCCTCCCAATTTGATATCCAATTTTTCTTTATCTAAATCATTTGACACCCTCATCACCTTACTCTTTTCTATGTTCACTTTCAACTTTCTACCTTTACACACATCCCAAACTTATCCCCTAACCTTTGCAATTTTTCTTTAGAATCTCCCATAAGCACAGTATCATCAGCAAAAAGTAACTGTGTCAATTCCCATTTTGAATTTGATTCCCCATAATTTAATCCCACCCCTCTCCCAAACACCCTAGCATTTACTTCCTTTACAACCCCATCTATAAATATATTAAACAACCATGGTGACATTACACATCCCTGTCTAAGACCTACTTTTACCGGGAAGTAGTCTCCCCTCTCTTCTACACACCCTAACCTGAGCCTCACTATCCTCATAAAAACTTTTTACAGCATTTAATAACTTACCACCTATTCCATATACTTGCAACATCTGCCACATTGCTCCTCTATCCACTCTATCATATGCCTTTTCTAATCCATAAATGCAATAAAAACTTCCCTATCTTTATCTAAATACTGTTCACATATATGCTTCAATGTAAACACCTGATCTACACATCCCCTACCCACTCTAAAACCTCCTTGCTCATCCGCAATCCTACATTCTGTCTTACCTCTAATTCTTTCAATTATAACCCTACCGTACACTTTTCCTGGTATACTCAGTAAGCTTATTCCTCTATAATTTTTACAGTCTCTTTTGTCTTTTGTACCTGTACCTAAATAAACTTACACACTATGCTGGTCTACAGCTACACATTAAAATCACTAAGAGTGTCTTATTAGTCTTGAGGATGCCATATTAATGATAGTAATCATAATACGCAATAATAATCACTCTGAGGCACAGTAAATGTTGTATATTACGCTAATATAAGCATTTTTATTAATCCATGATATTTTTTCAAAATTACATAAAAAAACATGCTATGTAACTTTTTTTTTTTTTTCAACAAGTCAGCCATCTCCCACCAAGGCAGGGTGACCCAAAAAGAAAGAAAATCCCCAAAAGAAAATACTTTCATCATCATTCAACACTTTCACCTCGCTCATACATAAAAACTGTTTTTGCAGAGGCGCCCAGTTTAGAAGCATATATAAAGATAAATAACATATCCCTCCAAACTGCCAATATCCCAAACCCCTCCTTTAAAATGCAGGCATTATACTTCCCATTTCCAGTACTCAAGTCCAGCTATATAAAAATAACCGGTTTCCCTGAATCCCTTCACTAAATATTACTCTGCTCACACTCCAACAGCTCGTCAGGTCCCAAAAACCATTCGTCTCCATCTACTCCTATCTAACATGCTCACGCATGCTTGCTGGAAGTCCAAGCCCCTCGCCCACAAAACCTCCTCTACCCTCCGACCTTTTCGAGGACGACCTCTACCCTGCCTTCCTTCTCCTACAGATTTATACGCTCTCCATGTCATTCTACTCTGATCCATTCTCTCTAAATGACCAAACCACCTCAACAACCCCTCTTCAGCCCTCTGACTAATACTTTTATTAACTCCACACCTTCTAATTTCCACACTCCAAATGTTCTGCATATTTACACAACACACTGCCCTTAGACAGGACATCTCCACTGCCTCCAACCACCTCCTCACTGTAGCATTTACAACCCAAGCTTCACACCCATATAAGAGAGTTGGTACCACTATACTTTCATACATTCCCTTCTTTGCCTCCACAGATAACATTTTTTGTCTCCACATATACCTCAATGCACCACTCACCTTTTTTTCTTCATCAATTCCATGGTTAACCTCATCCTTCATAAACCCATCCACTGACACATCAACTCCCAAATATCTGAAAACATTCACTTCTTCCATACTCCCTCTCTCCAATGTGATATCCAATTTTTCTTTATCTAAATCATTTGATACCCTCACCACCTTACTGCTGCCTGGGCCTGGGCCAGGCTTGTCTTAACTGAAATTTGTGTCTTGTGACCAACATACAGGTCACATCTGAGGGAACCTAGCTCTGATCAAACAGACTGTTAATGTTGGTACTGCATATGGACAGTTGCTAACAAAATACTGTACATGTAGATAATCAAAAAAGAGAAGAAAAGAGGATAACCTTAGTGTGTACAGCTACAGGAGCAGAACATCCTCCTTCTAGTGTGCGCATGAAAGCTCTCTCTGCAACAGCTTCCACAGTGGTGTCGGGGTCAGCTATCTTAGCCAGTATATCCAAGATGGCAGAATCACCCTCTCGACATTCAACAGCCAATGCTCCCTGACCTACTGCATACATGCAAAGGTCATCACACAGATACTGAAAATATAAAAGAAACAAAAAATGTACAATCAGTCATACATAAATGAACATACAGTACAGGTTGACCATCACTAATCCTGTAGCATGCCGGATTGTTGATTTTACCGGATTACAGAGTGGTTAGGTTAAAATACACTTAAGCCAACAGCGATATTTACACATCATCCATTTCACCCTCTTTATGCCCTATTCCATTGTTCCAGTCTACCAAACTCATAGCTATTTCGCTAGTATTCCTTCTATTCTGTAGATTGAGTACAAGAAGCCGCTCATTTACTTATTTCAACTACCCGATAAAGTGGTCAGTAACTGGTAATTTGTCCAATTTCACACAAATTTCAAGAGGTGCCAATTGCAAAGTAGGGTCCAGAATAAACAATGCAGACATTCCTGGCATTAAAATAGCATTTTCTCTGTTTATCAGTTACGTCTGCAGGTCCCTCTTGTATTATGCTTGCTTTCCGTTTTGAATTTTTATTCACACAAAAAAATAGAAGATTTACTGTTATGCAGATTACTGCATTACTGTAATAACTATAAATAATGTGAACCCATTCATGACTGCATATTAAACCAGCCCGTTGGACATGTATTGGATAGTGACATCATCTATTTACAGTGGACCCCCGCCTTACGGTGGCATCGCGTTACGTTAAATCCGCCATACGATACATTTGAATGCAAAAATTTTGCCTCGCCTCACGCGATTCATCCGGGACACGTCCCATGTGTGGCCTCAGCGTCAGTGTTTACAAGCCAGCCAATGCAGTCGCATCCACACATACATTCAGTACATTTCGCCTTACCCCAGTATTTCTTGTGCTTGTAACTGCAAAGTCAGTCACCATGGGCCCCAAGAAAACTTCTAGTGTCAACCCTGTGGTAAAAAGAATTAGTATGGAAATTAAGAAAGATTTTGAAGGGTTTGGGGCTAACCCTGAGAAGCCTATGCCAGTTGTGGAATCCATTGTGCCTACTTCAAAGATTAAGGATATGTGTGCAAAGTGGGTTGAACTGCAAACCTTTATGGATGAAAAGCACCCTAACACAGCTATTGCAAGCCATGCTGGTGACTATTACAATGACAATGTTGTGACCCATTTTAGGCAAATCTTAAAGGAATGGGAGGTACAGAGCTCTATGGACAGATTTGTTGTGCGAAAGAGGTCCAGTGACTCAAGCTGGTCCTAGTGGCATTAAAAGAAGAAGGGAAGTAACCCCGGAAAAGGACTTGCTACCTCAAGTCCTAATGGAAGGGGATTCCCCTTCTAAACAATAACTTCCACACTTTCCCCTCCTCCCATCCCATCAATCATCATCAGATCTTCAATAAAGGTAAGTGTCATGTATTCTATTCTTAGTAGAGTAGTAATTGTGCATGTCTTCTTCAGTTTGTTGTATTAAAATTAACCCTTTGAGGGTTGACAGGTCCTCTCCGAAACTCGTTCTCAGGGTCGGCCAAATTTAAAAAAAAAAAAATTATTTTCTCTTATGAAAAGATAGAGAATCTTTTCCCGATCATAAGGACACCAAAAGTTTGAAATTTGATGGAAAACTTACGGAATTATGCTCTCGCAAAGTTAGCGGTCTCGGCGATTTTTACGCATCGGCGATTTTGCCCACTTTGAGCCCCATTTTCGGCCAATTCCACTGTACTAGTCGACAAAAAACATGAATATTTCGCTAGAACTGTATTTTTTCTATCGAATGGGAGCAAGAAACCACCCATTTATGAAATTCAACTATCCAGTACAGTGGTCAGAATTTAGCAATTTTGCCAATTTCACACAAATTTCAAAAGATGCCAATTTCCGAATAGGGTCCAGAATAAACAAGAAAGACATTCCTGGCACTAAAATGACATTTCCTCTGGTCATTAGTCACGTCTCAAGGCCCCTCTTATATTCTTTTGTTTTCCACTTTGAATTTTTATTCTCCAAAAAAATATAAGATTTACTGTTATGCAGACTACTGCATTAGTGTAAAAAATGGTATAAATATTATTGGTGCTCTTTTGAAAGAATATTAGACTCACCAGTTGACGTGTATTGCACGCTTGGCATGATTTGTTTACTTTTGAACTTTGGTAAAAATCGAACATTTCTGCTACTTTGAGCTCAATTTCAAGGTACCTTTCATTGTAAAACCAGTCAAAATCATCTCAATTTCTGTAATATGTCTTCCATTCTATAAAATGAGACCAAGAAAACTAGAATACAACAATAAATACCATACGAAAATACAGTGCAAATTCGCTGTTTTATTCCAAAAAAATGGTCAAAGTTTTTTTTTTCTCATTATCCACTGTGTGCTGCAGGATTTTTTTTAGACTGTGCACACTGACCACATAGACCCATTCTTTCATATGAAGGCCTACCAGCTTTCTCCCACTAGATTTGAGAGCGCTAAAATTTAGGCGTACTAGTACGTCAAAAACCCTGGGTCGTAAGCCGTATTAGTACGTACGAAACCCTCAAAGGGTTAATATTTCATGTGGTAAAAATTTTTTTTTTCAAATTTTGGGGTGTCTTGCACGGATTAATTGATTTCCATTATTTCTTATGGGGAAAATTAATTCGCCTTATGATAATTTTGGCTTACGATGAGCTCTCAGGAACGGATTAATATTGTAAGGCGGGAGTCCACCGTACTCTTGAACATTGGCAAAAATCAAACATTTCCGGTACTCTGAGCTCAATTTCAAGGTGCTTTCCATCGAGAAACGAATCAAAATCACATCTATTTCTGTAATATATTTTCCATTCTATCAAATGAGACCAAAAAAATTAGAATACAACCATAAAACCATACAAAACTACACTGCAAAGTCACAATTTTACACCAAATACATGATCTCATTTTTTTTTCTCGTTATGCACTGCGTGCTACAAGATTTTTTTTTTATATAGTGCACACTTACCATACAGACCTATTCTCTCATATGTGGGCCCAAATTTACAAGTCACAGCTTATCTGAGCTGAGCTGAGCTCATGGTGACGACAGTGGCTTCAAAGCCACCTTATCTTTTATGGACAATGTATGTGCTTTACACAACAAGAAGCATTTCTTTCATTTGTTGGAACCATGAGTAGGGCTAAAAGTGACCAGATAATAACAATAAATTGAGAAAAAGAAATTGGAATGATTTATGCAGCAAGTAGCACCACCAAACAGTAGCAGTAGGTTGGTGTGGTGACCCTGGAAATTTGAAATTATGCTAGCCGAAATTCGTGCCGGATTACTGATTGCCGGATTAGTGATGGCCGACCAGTACTATAAATTAAATTACGCATTATGTATACTGATTTAAAGGAGAAAACTTGGAGATAAAGAACATTATCCATGGAGGTAAAAAGAGAAATGTGTGGGAAAGTAGTGATACCAACACTCTTATATGGGTGTGAAGCATGGACTGAATGTTGCAATGAGGAGGAGGCAGCTGGAGGCAGTGGAGATATTGTATATGAGGGCAATGTGTGGAGTGATTATGCAGAGAATTCATAGCTTGGAGATTAGATGTAGGGTGACAAAGTATTTTCCAGAGGGCTGAGCAGAGACTGTTAAGGTGTTTTAGACACTTAGGTAAGAGGAAGCAATAAATAAATCTGTAGTGGAGGGAAGGCAGGGTAGGGGATTGGCCTTGGAAAGGCTGGAGGGAGGGGATAAAGAAGGTTTTGTATGCGAGAGGCTTAAACATCCAGCAGGCATGAATGAGCATGTTAGAAAGGAGTGGAGGCAAGTGATTTTTATGACTTAACGTGTTGTTGGAGTGTGAGCAAGGTAACATTTAAGAAAGATTCAGGGAAACCGGTTAGTTATATTTGAGTCCTGGAGACGGGAAAAATAATGCCTGCACTCTGAAGGAAGTGTGGGGATATGTGCAGTTTGGAGGGCCATCTGAACTGCAGTATCTGCATACCTCCAGCAAGGCAGTGATGGGGTGAATGATGATGGAAGTGTTTCTTTTTGAGAGTCACCCTACCTGGTGGGAGACAACCAGTGTATTAAAAAAAATTGTAATAATAATAATTTGGGATTTTATTATTTTTGGAAACCTAATGAGGAATATATATATTAAATGAATTTGGTAGGGTGTGCAAAAGAAGAAAATTAAAGGTGAATACAGGAAAGAGTAAGGTTATGAGGATAACAAAAAGATTAGGTGATGAAAGATTGAATATCAGATTGGAGGGAGAGAGTATGGAGGAGGTGAACGTATTCAGATATTTGGGAGTGGACGTGTCAGCGGATGGGTCTATGAAAGATGAGGTGAATCATAGAATTGATGAGGGAAAAAGAGTGAGTGGTGCACTTAGGAGTCTGTGGAGACAAAGAACTTTGTCCTTGGAGGCAAAGAGGGGAATGTATGAGAGTATAGTTTTACCAACGCTCTTATATGGGTGTGAAGCGTGGGTGATGAATGTTGCAGCGAGGAGAAGGCTGGAGGCAGTGGAGATGTCATGTCTGAGGGCAATGTGTGGTGTGAATATAATGCAGAGAATTCGTAGTTTGGAAGTTAGGAGGAGGTGCGGGATTACCAAAACTGTTGTCCAGAGGGCTGAGGAAGGTTGTTGAGGTGGTTCGGACATGTAGAGTAGAATGGAGCGAAACAGAATGACTTCAAGAGTGTATCAGTCTGTAGTGGAAGGAAGGCGGGGTAGGGGTCGGCCTAGGAAGGGTTGGAGGGAGGGGGTAAAGGAGGTTTTGTGTGCGAGGGGCTTGGACTTCCAGCAGGCATGCGTGAGCGTGTTTGATAGGAGTGAATGGAGACAAATGGTTTTTAATACTTGACGTGCTGTTGGAGTGTGAGCAAAGTAACATTTATGAAGGGATTCAGGGAAACCGGCAGGCCGGACTTGAGTCCTGGAGATGGGAAGTACAGTGCCTGCACTCTGAAGGAGGGGTGTTAATGTTGCAGTTTAAAAACTGTAGTGTAAAGCACCCTTCTGGCAAGACAGTGATGGAGTGAATGATGGTGAAAGTTTTTCTTTTTCGGGCCACCCTGCCTTGGTGGGAATCGGCCGGTGTGATAATAAAAAAAAAAAAAAATAATATATTAAAGTTTACAGTCAAGAGTGATAGTATGATCACCAGGATCATAAGCTCTAGAAATGTTTTTAACTGAGACTTGAAAGCATGAACATATTCCTGACTCTTGACACTGGCAACCTGGTTAACAATTTAGGAGCTACATAAGAAAAGTCTCTTTCTGCAAAAGATTTCTCCCCAACAGAATGAGGCTCAGTGAGTCTAAAAGGACCCAGAGCAATTCACAAGAACATTATCAAGCCCAACATGAAAGTGAAACTTAATAGCTTTAAACAGTTTAAATTCAATTCTTGCTCTGACAGGGAGCCAATGCAGTTCATACAAGTAGGAACTATTGGAAACTCTAGTCAGAAGCAAAAATGCCAGTCTAGCTACACAATTCAGTACAATTCAGTAAATTAGGCAAATCCACACACTAACAATGGTAAAAATCAAGATGAGGGGAAACACATGGTGCTTCATATTAATGTACAGATTATTCACCTATAAGATATATACCTAGGTAGAGGGTTGGTAGATAGCAACTGCCCAGGGAGGTACCACTGTCCTACCAAGCGAGTGTAAAATGAAAGCCTGTAATTGTTTTATGTGATGGAAGGATTGCAGGTGTCTTTTTTGTCTCAAACATGAAGAAGAGCAGGTATATCTTGCTACTTCTACTTACACTTAGGTCATACTACACATGCATGTGCACATGTACATATACCTACCCATCTGGGTTTTCTTCTATTGTCTTAATAGTACTTGTTCTTCTTTATTTCCTCTAATCTTCATGGGGAAGTGGAAAAGAATTCTTCCTTCATAAGCCATGTGTGTCATAAGAGATGACTAAAATGTCAGGAGCCCCTTCTCCTGTATATATTACTAAATTTAGAAGGATAAACTTTCCTTTTCCCTTTTGTATAGATTACTAAATTTTAAAAGAAAGACTTGTTTTTCTTGTTAGTTGCCTCGGTAAGATATGGCCGATGCTTTAAAAAACATTATTCTTTTTATTTTTATTATCATTAAAAATAATAATTTTTTTTAAAGCATCGGCTGTCTAGTAGACATACACTGCTCTCAATTAGCAAGAACAGTGAGACTGCACCTCTTGTGGACACCCAGCCAGGCCATCAGTGAGCAATTCTTTTCTAATAATGGAATGTACTACCCAAACTTCCCTTTACTTAATTGTTTTTGTTAGATTTACTCTTTATATTATCAAGAGTTTTCCCTAATATAATTTTTTTTTTTTTTAATAATTTTCCGATCTGTGTTGCACCTAATTCATCCAATGTCAAGTCATATTGTAAGAAGGCTTGCTGTATTATACTGTAGCACACCATATCACTAATCTATGTTACATTCATACATTTCATTACTTGTAAGACTCATGAAAATGCATGGCCTTGGAGCTAGAAATACTTTTTATCATAAGTAGTATGGCAGTAGATACTGAGTTGAAAATTCACCCCATGCATCTGTAAGATCTCATCACATACTGTGGATACTCAAAATGTTTATTTTTAAGCCAGAGTGGACAGACAACTTGTGTGGTCTAGAAGATGCACCCCCAAGTCACTGATTTACATTTTACAGTACTCCTTAACCCTTAAACGGTCCAAACGTATATATACATTCACTACCCCAGTGCCCCGAATATTTTGAAAAATAAAAAAATCTTTTTTTTTTATTGAAGAAAAGAGCACATTTTTCTAATTGTTATAGGATAAAAAAAAAAATTTAGAGTCAGTATTTACCGAGATATGAGGCCGCAAAGTTAGCACTTGGGGATCACCTGACGGCAACATGGAGCACTGCCGCTTGCAAAAGTGTTGCAGATATACCTTTTTTCTATTTTCATATTATTTTATATAATTTTCATGTTCTGATAATTACAGTTTATAGTAATTCTTGTCATTTCATAACAAATCTTTGTTCTGACACTAGTATTAGGTACTGAAATTACACTCACATTGTCACAAACACATTGACAGGTGGACATTTACACCTGCCTTGGTCATTTACTATTGTCTTGGAATATATACAAAGTATTTATATGTCCCAGCAATGTTTTGGATATGTGGAAGTGCATAATAATAATGAGGAGGAGGAGGAGGAGGAGGAGGAGAAGGAGAAGAAGAAGAAGGAGAAGAAGGAGGAGGAGGAGAAGGAGGAGGAGGAGGAGGAGGAGGAGGAGGAGAGGAGGAGGGAGGAGGAGGAGGAGGAAGGAGGAGGAGGAGGAGGAGGAGGAGGAGGAAGAAGGAGGAGGAAGGAGGAGGGGAGGAGGAGGAAGGAGGAGGAAGGAGGAGAAGGAGGAAGAAGAAGGAGGAGGAAGAAGAACTTAAGAGGTAATAATAATAAAATAATAAGTTCTCTTGAAGTATGAAAAACAAAGTCCATCCCTGACAGTGACATGATAAGGGGAGATAACATCTGATAAGAGCTGACATTTGATGAGCATAAACGAGGGTGGAAGAGGGTGCAGCTGATAAGAAAAGATTAGATGACCATCCCCCTAGCTTTGTTTTTGCTGGTACACAAACATTTCTGTCTGTCAAGCTCCCTGTCTATCCATCTAGCTCTCTGTCTGAGAGAGAGCCACAAGACTGCATCATCACCTTTACTCACATCTTCAAGCAGAGTATAGCACTTTGTTTGGATTTTTTTGGGTTATCCTAGGTAATTTACACTATGTATACTTGTATTTGTGTGTACCTGTGAGACAGAGATAGACAGACAAAAAGAGATAGACAGGGATAGAGACAGACAGAGACAAAGACAAATAGAGACAGACACACAGAGATAGACAGATACAGAGATAGAGCCAGGCCAGCCAGCCCAGCCCAGCCCAGCCCAGCCCAGCCCAGCCCAGCCCAGCCCAGCCCAGCCCAGCCCAGCCCAGCCCAGCCCAGCCAGCCCAGCCAGCCCAGCCAGCCAGCCAGAATTGTTTCTCTTTACTTAGGGCATAGGTTATAAGACATTCTGAAAGGGTGTTGCACAAATATTGCACATGGGTTATTATTGAGGTTTTTTGATATTTCCTCGACCACTTGTGGCCACATCCACCTCAAAGCCACTAAACTCAGGATCAAAATCACTTTCCTCTTAAAATGGGTGTGTTAATACTACATGACATCAGTGAATCCCAGGTGTTTGCTGCACTGTTTGCTCTAGCTGGCACTCATTTGAACTGGTGCTCCCACAAGGTACTAAGTGGTCCCAGATTTTTTTAATACCGTGCACACTGAGTGTTAGGACCCATTCTATGCTGACAAGGCATCTCAAGCCAATCGTGCCAAATTTGAAGGCAGGAAAAATAAAACGTATATATACGTTTGGGGCACTAGCGGTAAAAACGTATATATACGTTTGGACTGTTTATGGATTAAAGAGTTAAAAGATATATAACTTCTTAGTTGTACCTAGAAAAGGAGTAAGTATGGCAGATGAAAGACATGAATTGTGCCAGATAAGCTATGAAGAGAGAATGTGAAAACAAAGCTTTGTCACTTGACAAGCAACAAGAGAGGATCTGGTCACTATTTGCAAACAAGTACAATATGTGCACAGAGTAGAAAATGGTAGGCTTTTTTACCAGGTATGCTACAAAAATATGAGAAAATGGTTAGAAATTACACACCTATATAAGCAACAAGGATATCTGAAAGAACTTTTTTCAGCTAGGTGTTAAAAATTGGGATGAACGGAGCAATGACAGCATACAGGATATTACATCACTTACTGATGTAAACAAAATAAATATGCTGTTTATAGTTGTGTGAAAATGACATGCATCAAAGACACTGATTATAAGATGTTTCACACAGTTCAGTCATTATTTATTTGTAGTAGTAGTGTATATATGAGAAATGAGTCAGAAGTGCAAAAACTGTTCGCTAACCTGAGAGATTCTGTTTTTCCAGCCCATTCTGATCACTCCAGCTGCAGCAAGAACAAGGGCTGCATAATCGTCTGCATCATCTAGCTTACGAAAACGTGTGTTCAAATTTCCACGCACACTCTTAAAACACAGGTCCGGATACTTTCGTTTCAACTGAGCACTGCGTCGAAGAGAGCTGGTACCTGCAAATGCATCCAGAATTTTATGAAAAAATTTCCCAAGCATCAATATTTATATCCTAATTTAATATGAGAACCTGTCAATGAAAAGACTACTAGTAGCTACTGTACAATATTATTTTTTTTTATTATCACACCGGCCGATTCCCACCAAGGCAGGGTGGCCCGAAAAAGAAAAATTTTCACCATCATTCACTCCATCACTGTCTTGCCAGAAGGGTGCTTTACACTACAGTTTTTAAACTGCAACATTAACACCCCTCCTTCTGAAGGAGGGGTGTACAATATATCCATACTAAATATATAACAGTAACTGCACAATATCCAGAGCAGCATGCCTCATTTTGAAATACAATTATGCCTGCAGAATTTTTCTAGATACTTAAACTTGAGCATACTGTACATTCATTATAATAAATACAACGCATACAAGCTTTTATTTATAAATCAAACTTGTTTGCTTACAAATAATATTGCTCAATCAAGTTAAGAAAGTTCTCATGGAAACAGACTTGCACTAATATTAAATTTTATTAAAAATTAAATTGCTCTACCACAGTTTTGATGTTGAGAGGAAAATGATGCCTAGGGTAAATGGGAAGGGTCCTGCCTATAATGCTCAGACATTTAACTGGTGCCCATTTTATTTAAACTCCTCATAATAATATTTAGTGAAGGGATTCAGGGAAACCGGTTATTTTATATAACCAGACTTGAGTCCTGGAAATGGGAAGTACAATGCCTGCACTCTAAAGGAGGGGTTTGAGATATTGGCAGTTTGGAGGGATATATTTTTATATGTTGCATATACTTCTAAACTGCTGTATTCTAGGCACCTCTGCAAAAACAGTGATTATGTGTGAGTGAGGTGAAAGTGTTGAATGATGATGAAAGTATTTTCTTTTTGGGGATTTTCTTTCTTTTTGGGTCACCTTGCCTCGGTGGGAGACGCCCGACTTGTTGAAAAAAAAAAAAATCTATATCCCACCAAGTTAAAGTGACCCAGAGAGGGAAACACATTCACCTTCACTCAGTTGTTACATACTTTTCCAAATCGGCAAAGACATCCCATTTCAAATGACCCTCCAAATATTTTATTATATACATGTATTTATAACAAAGTCTTTCTTTTTCTCGTTTTTAGTAGTTTATACAGGAGAAGGGGTTACTAGCCCATTGCTTCCAGCATTTTAGTCGCCTCCTACGATACGCTTATGGAGGAAAGATTCTTTTCCACTTCCCCATGGAGAATAAGGGAAATAAAAAACAACAAGAACTACGTATTAAGAAAAAAGAAGAAAAACTTAGATATAACAACATAAGAAAGAAGGAACACTGCAACAGGCCTACTGGCCCATGCAGGGCAGGTCCATGTCAACCCCCTGCTTAGACCAATGGCCCACCCAGTCAGGTCACCACCACTTAAGGAAGGAGCATGGCATCTGACCCAGTAGCACCAGCTAGTCAGGTCCAACTCACACCCACCCACACCCAATCATGTATTTATCCAACCTACTTTTAAAACAACACGTCTTAGCTTTTATAACAGTATTCAGGAGTTTGTTCCAATCATCTACAACTATTAAAAATCGGTGCTTTCCTATATCTTCCCTGAATCTGAATTTTTCCAGCTCAAAACCAATTTTTCAAGTCCTGTCTAGGCTAGATATTTTTAGAATGCTATTTTTATTATTTTTTTTTTTTTTTTTTTTTTTATTATTATCACACTGGCCGATTCCCACCAAGGCAGGGTGGCCCGAAAAAGAAAAACTTTCACCATCATTCACTCCATCACTGTCTTGCCAGAAGGGTGCTTTACACTACAGTTTTTAAACTGCAACATTAACACCCCTCCTTCAGAGTGCAGGCACTGTACTTCCCATCTCCAGGACTCAAGTCCGGCCTGCCGGTTTCCCTGAATCCCTTCATAAATGTTACTTTGCTCACACTCCAACAGCACGTCAAGTATTAAAAACCATTTGTCTCCATTCACTCCTATCAAACACGCTCACGCATGCCTGCTGGAAGTCCAAGCCCCTCGCACACAAAACCTCCTTTACCCCCTCCCTCCAACCCTTCCTAGGCCGACACCCTACCCCGCCTTCCTTCCACTACAGACTGATACACTCTTGAAGTCATTCTGTTTCGCTCCATTCTCTCTACATGTCCGAACCACCTCAACAACCCTTCCTCAGCCCTCTGGACAACAGTTTTGGTAATCCCGCACCTCCTCCTAACTTCCAAACTACGAATTCTCTGCATTATATTCACACCACACATTGCCCTCAGACATGACATCTCCACTGCCTCCAGCCTTCTCCTCGTGCAACATTCATCACCCACGCTTCACACCCATATAAGAGCGTTGGTAAAACTATACTCTCATACATTCCCCTCTTTGCCTCCAAGGACAAAGTTCTTTGTCTCCACAGACTCCTAAGTGCACCACTCACTCTTTTTCCCTCATCAATTCTATGATTCACCTCATCTTTCATAGACCATCCGCTGACACGTCCACTCCCAAATATCTGAATACTTCACCTCCTCCATACTCTCTCCCTCCAATCTGATATTCAATCTTTCATCACCTAATCTTTTTGTTATCCTCATAACCTTACTCTTTCCTGTATTCACCTTTAATTTTCTTCTTTTGCACACCCTACCAAATTCATCCACCAATCTCTGCAACTTCTCTTCAGAATCTCCCAAGAGCACAGTGTCATCAGCAAAGAGCAGCTGTGACAACTCCCATTTTGTGTGTGATTTACATCCCCTTTATTAATTCCTGTTTTCCATTTATACACCTCAATCATATCCCCCCTAAATCTATGCCTTTCTATAGAGTGCAGATTTGGGGCCCTCAGCCTATCCTCATAGGGAAGATTTCTGATACATGGGATCAACTTTGTCATCCTCTTCTGTACGTTTTCCAGTGCATTTATATCCATTCTGTAACAAAAAAAAAGGCACAATACCGTGACTGGAACGATACACAAATAACCTGCACATAAAAGAGAGAAGCTTACGACGACGTTTCGGTCCGACTAGGACCATTTATATAGCCGTCCTGCTCCACTTCTGGTTAGTGTGACTTTGTAAATGGTCCAAGTTGGACCGAAACGTCGTCGTAAGCTTCTCTCTTTTATGTGCGGGTTATTTGTGTATCCATTCTGTAATACAGTGACCAGAACTGTGCAGCATAATCTAAATAAAGCCTAACCAAGGATATATGGAGTTGAAGAACAACCTGAGGATTTCTATTATTTTTACTTCTTGATATGAAGCTAAGGATTCTGTTAGCTATACTGCGAACGCTTATGCACTGTTGTCTTGGTTTCAGGTAACTGCTAACCAGAACTCCTAAATCCATTTTGCAATCAGTAATATTAAGATCTACATTATTTAGTTTATATGTGGCATGGTTATTATCCTTTCCAACATCTAGAACTTTGCATTTGTCTATATCAAGTTGCATCTGCCACTTTTCCGACCACTGCTCAGTCTTTCAAAAACATCCGGAGTGCCAATTCCCATTAGAAGAATTGGACGGCCTATTTTGGTCATCACAAATTTTCATGTCACTATTAAAACCCCTTGGGGGGGTTTTGGCCGTCTAGTACGGTTAGACCAGGGTTTTTTAGTTCTAGTACGCCTAAATTCTAGTGCCCTCAAATCTGGGGGAGAAACGGGTAGGCCTACATATGAAAGAATGGGTCTATGTGGTCAGTGTGCACAGTATAATAATAATAAAACAGCGACTTTGCACTGTATTTTCGTATGGTATTTATTGTTGTATTCTACTTTTCTTGGTCTCATTTTATAGAATGGAAGACATATTACAGAAACTGAGATGATTTTGACTGGTTTTACAATGAAAAGTACCTTGAAATTGAGCTCAAAGTAGCAGAAATGGTCGATTTTTACCAAAGTTCAAAAGTAAATAAATCATGCCAAGCATCCAATACGCGTCAACTGGCGAGTCTAATATTCTTTCACAAGTGGGCTGATATTATTTATACCATTTCTACACTAATGCAGTAGTCTGCATAACAGTAAATCTTCTATTTTTTGTAAGAATAAAAATTGAAAGTGGAAAGCCAAAGAAATATAAGAGGGGCCTGGGATGTGACTAACGAACAGAGAACTTAGTTATTTTAGTGCCAGGAATGTCTTTCTTGTTTATTCTGGAACCTATTCGGAAATTGGCATCTTTTGAAATTTGTGTGAAATTGGCAAAATTGTTAAATTCTGACCACTTTATTAGATAGTTGAAATCGGTAAATGGGTGGTTTCTTGTACTCATTCAATACAAAAAATAGAGTTTTAGCGAAATAGTTATGATTTTCGTCGACTAGTACATTGGAATTGGCCAAAAATAGAGCTCAAAGTGGGCAAAATCGCCGATGCGTAAACATCGTCGAGACCGCTAACTTCGCTAGAGCATAATTCCCTAAGTTTTCCATCAAATTTCATACTTTTGATGTCATTATGATCGGGAAAAGATTCTCTATCTTCTCATTAGAATTTTTTTTTTTTTTTTTTTTTTTTAAATTGACCGACCCTGAGAACAAGTCTCGGAGAGGGCCTGTCGACCCTCAAAGGGTTAATTCCCTCACCTATGTCATTTATGTAAATTGTGAACAAGGGGCCCAATACTGACCCCTGTGGAACACCGATTGTAATGTGGGCCCATTCTGATTTCTTCCCATATATGCAAACTCTCTGCTGCCTATTTGTCAGCCATGCCTCTCCTCCTATTCCGTGTGCCTTAAGTTTCCTCAATAGCCTCTGAAGCCTTACTGAAGTCCATATACACAATATCATTCAATATCACGATCTACCTCCTCAAATACCTTTATGAAAAAAGTTAGTATATTCCTAAGACAGGAACGCCCCTTTGTAAAATCGTGTTGCGATTCATTAATCAATTTATGCCTTTCACGATAGCTACGAATTGCCTCGGCAATTTTTTATTCCATAAATTTTCCCACTATGGAGGTAAGGCTTATTGGTCTATAGTTCGAAGCTAAGGACCTGTCACCTGCCTTGTAAATAGGTACTATTACATTTGCCATTATCCACTTATCTGGCACTATGCCAGTTTGTAGTGATATATTGAAAAGATTAGCCAAAAGTTTGCTAAGTTTCTCTTTACATTCCTTTAAAACCCTTGCAAAACAATTCATCAGGGCCTGGGGATTTGTTAGGTTTTAATTTCTCTATTTGTCTGAGGACGATGTCCCTAGTTACCCCAATCGTGCATAGTTTATCATCCTGTTCTACATAATTTATTATTTCTGGAATTTCACTAGTATCTTCCTGAGTAAAAACTGAGAGGAAGTAAGTATTGAAAATTTCACACATTTCCTTATCACCGTCAGTGATCTGACCTTAGTTACTCTTACGTGGGCCTATCTTGTCCCTAATCTTACTTTTGTATACCTGAAAGAACCCTTTTGGGTTAGTCTTCGAGTCCCTTGCGACCTTAGCCTCAATCCCTTTTTGCTTTTCTTATTCCTTTTTTCCTCTCTTTAGTTGAATATACTGATTTCTTAACTGCCCATCCCCTCTTTTGATATGTGTATATATGCCTCTCTTTTGACCAATGAGATGTTTTAATCTAATGTTCATCAATTTGGGATCATTTTTGTTAGATCTAATTTCCCTACTCAGAACAAAAGTTGTCTGGGTAGCTAGGACTATGCTCTGAAAAATGTCATATTGGCAACCAACACAATCAACCTGACCCATTGTCAAGTCATCCCAATTTACCCCACCCAGGTAATTTCTCAGTGCCATGAAATTGGCCGAGCAGAAGTCTGGGACAGAGACTTGATTGCAGTTATCTGGGTAATTCCATGATATATTGAAAAGAAGTAATTTGTGATCACTTTCCCCAAGCTCATCATCAACCTCAAGATTATTAATTTGTGATTCATTGTTGGCAAGAACCAAGTCAAGCAGATTGTTTCCTCTAGTTGGTTCTGTCACAAACTGTTTTAAAAAGCAATCCTGAACCGTATCAAGAAAGTTAATACTCAAGATTTCCTGTCACATTGTTCCAATCAATGAGTCCAAAGTTAAAAATCTCCCATTAACACATTTTCATATCTAGATGCCTTATGAATTTTGTCCCATAGCAGCTTACTGCACTCTCTATCAAGGTTTGGTGGCCTATAAATCACACCCAAAATTTACTTTTCACGACCCTCGAGAAACTGTTGCTAAACAGACTGTGTCCAATGTTTCTAATCTTATATCTTGTCTAAGAACAATTTAAATTATCTCTGACATACATCACCACTCCACCACCCTTCCTGTTGACCCTATCAGTGTGGAATAGTTTATAACCCTGTATGTTGTATTCAGAAGGCATTTCTCTATCTTTCAAGTTGAACCAGGACTCTGTTATAGCAATAATATCTATATTACCTACACTTGCAAGTAATCTTAGTTCATCTATCTTATTTCTTAGGCTCCTACTATTTGTATAGTAAACCCTAAGGGAGCTAGTCACTCATTGCCCTCTACTATCTCTGTTGATCAATTGCTTTGCCTTTAGTAGCAACTTTATTTCGAATATTGTCTTTTAAACATATCCCTGAGGTATCCTGGTTATATCTGCTGTTTTCAACCCTAGTACTGCAGCCTGACTGTTTCCCACAGACACCCATACCTCTATAATCTAGACAGGTCACCAATAACCCCCTCAATCAAATTGGCTAATGCAACCACTCCAGCCCCAGAGAGATGAACCCCATCCCTTGCATACATAGCACGTTTGCCATGGAATATGTCCCAGTTATCAATGAATGGGTACGCAAGTTCCTTGCAGTACCTGTCTAGCCAGTAATTCATACCCACTGCTCTAGACATCCATTCATTGCCCACTCCCCTTCTAGGTAAGATGCTACATATGATTGGGATCCCTCCCTTAGACCTGACGACATCTATGGCTAACCTGTACTTTTCCAGCAGCTCCTGTCTCCTGCCCTTCCCGATGTCACAGTTACAAGTTTCCATTTCACACTCACTTGGCAGGACGGTAGTACCTCCCTGGGTGGTTGCTGTCTACCAACCTACTACCTACATGAAGGAGGGGTGTTAATGTTACAGTTTTATAATTGCAGTGTAAGCACGCCTCTGGCAAGACAGTCATGGAGTGAATGATGAAAGTTTTTCTTTTTCAGGCCACGCTGCCTTGGTGGGAAATGGCCAGTGTGTTAATAAAAAAAATATTTATAATATTCATTCATATTACCTGGCATCTTGAAAGCTGGTGATGACATTAAAAATCTTTATGATAATCTAGACCAGCTGTGTTGGCCAGTAAGGAAGAGCCTATGATGTTTCACAAAGACTATTGATATCAAAATAGAAGTGTTGTCAGCAAGACTGTAATTAAGATTACTAAGGTCACCCAGACTCTTGGGTCAAGGTAACTAGTCACCAAACCTGTAGTCGAAAGTGTCTTCCACCAAGACCATAGCCAAGACTACTAAAACTCATCAAGACTACTGAGGTCACCAAGACTCTGGCCAACATTATTGAGGTTATCAGGACTATTATCTCTCCGGTCATCTCCCACCGAGGCAGGGTGACCCAAGAACAACAACAACAAAAAAAACTACACTGCAATTAGAGTCATCTGAATTGTGATATCAGCACACCTTTGAATGAATTATGGTGAATGTGTTTCCCTTTTTGGGGGTCACCCAAGTTAGTGAGAGATGGCTGGTGTTAAAAAAAAATAGTCACAAATAAGGCAAACTGCTAGATACTGTAGTCATCATTTCTGGGAGTTTGATATTGTGCAGGAATTACTGACAAATATGACCCATAAGAAAAAATAATTTTGACATTAGCAAATCCATCACAAAATAAGAAACTTTACCAATGACCGAGTCTTTAGGAAGTGTTGCTAAAGTACACTCTGCATACTTGGGATGCATGATGACAGCATCTCGGGGATCCTCACGCTTCAGCACTGCACCAATTACCTACAACAGTCAAAGTTGTGGAAGGTCCTGAGAAAATATTAAATGTTATGGTTAGTAATACTTGCTATGCTAGAAATTAAATACCAAAGTAACATTCAACAGTCATCATTGAACCTACACATAGGAAAGAAACTCATAACAATGTTTCGAATCTCAAACCATGTCAGTCACAATTGACTTGACAATGTCCTGGAACAGTTGAATATCGTCAAATGTTCCTTCTTATAGTGTGGGTTTTTGGGTTACTGGTCCAGGTCAGCTTAGAAATACTGAAAAAAAAAAAAAAATAGGGATAAGTGCATACTTATAGTCTTCGTAAAAATGTTGCTATTACAAGTAGGCTATGCCCACTGTATCACAAATAAACCTCTAATATTTTTAAACGAATATTGAATAGAGGTAAATGCCTCTTCACTCCCATGAAAGCAAGAAGTGGATAAAAACAATGAGGTCAAGTACAGAAAAAATTGATGTGATGAAATTACCCCATCAAATGCTTACTAAGAATTTTATCAAATCCTACCCTCAATACATATATATACACAGGTTGAACTGTCTTTCCAATCAGTATAAAACATTAATAGACAAACCTTTAATGAGTGCACCACCACATCCACTGACTGGGCTTCCAGAGCTAGCTCAAGTTCCTTTGTAAAGAGACTCTTGCTGCCAATCTTTGACAATGCCACATCCTGGATCTTATCACCTTTAGTCTTCATAGACACTAGAGTAATAAAAGTCATACAAACAATACAAATAGCACATTAATAACTAGATCACTAGTTCCAATATTTAAACTAACTGTGCATTTTAATCAAGCTAACAAATAAATCATGAAAGACAAAATATAAATAAAAAATCACCAATATATTGCACTGGACTGATTTATTTTCAAATTCAAAAATTCATTTTGTTGCATAACATACAATATGTAGTTTACATACTAAAATATTGTTAAATGCAAAGAAACCCATTAGTATGCCTAAGCATTTTGGGCAGACTAATCCTAATGCTTACATACTACTTAAAACTTGACACAGGTTATGAGTGGTGAATTTTAATTGTACATTAATACAAAAAGAGGGGTCACAGCCACCCACTACCCTCATTACTGCCCTCAACAACTGCACACTTACCCACTCAGTCACCCATCCAAATTCAAAATTATTTATACACTACATCTAATGACTAAAAGTCACGCTAAACATTCAGTAGGTGTAAATGTCTGGTACTTGCACAAGTGCTCTATAACTCTGCATGTGATACAGTATCAATTATATTTCTATAATGTAGTCAAACTTCCAAACTTGCAAGCTTTGCAATTCACACACACTGATTATTCAACACTTTTACTAAAAGGTTTTTCAATAATAGCTTTGATTATTTTGTTTTTTTACTTGGTGCACAACCACTAAATTGGGGGCTAGCCACTGTAATTCAAATATGATGTGCACAATGGATTTCCTGCACCCAAATGACTACTTTTGGTTATGGGCATTTTTCTTAATGTCAATAATAATGAAGTCAGTGGAATAAGAGATGTATATATACTCAAAAATTCTAGCGGCTTCAAATCAAGCAGGAGAAAGCTGGTAGGCCCACATGTGAGAGAATGGGTCTGTGTGGTCAGTGTGCACCATATAAAAAATTCTTGCATCATGCAGTGCATAATGAGAAAAAAAAAAAAAACCATTTTTCTGGATTAAAACACCGACTTTGTGGTGTATTTTCATATAGTATTTATGGTTGTATTCTCGTTTTCTTGGTCTCATTTGATAGAATGGAAAACATATTATAGAAATAGAGGTGATTTTGATTGGTTTTACTATGAAAAGAACCTTGAAATGGAGCTCAAAGTAGGGGAAATGTTTGATTTTTGCCAATGTTCAAAAGTAAACAAATGATGTCATTGTCCAACTAGCCATTCTAATATGCAGTCATGAATGGGTTGACATCATTTAAACAATTTTTACAATATTGCAGTAGTCTGCATAACAGTAAATCTTCTATTTTTTGTTTGAATAAAAATTCAAAATAGAAAGCAAGAGTAATATCAGAGGGGCCTGGAGACGTGACTGATGAACAAAGAAAAAGTTATTTTAGAGCCAGAAATGTCTGCATTGTTCATTCTGGACCCTATTTTGAAATTGGCATATTTTTTTAATTTGCGTGAAATTGACCAAATTGCAAATTTCTGACCACGTTATTGGGTAGTTGAAATCAGTAAATGGGCAGTTTCTTGTACTCAATCGATAGAACAAATGGAGTTCTAAAGAAATAGCTATGAGTTTGGTCGACTGGAACAATGGAATTAGCCAAAAATAGAGCTCAAAGTGGGCAAAATCGCTGATTCGTAAATATCGCCGAGGTCGCTAACTTCGCGAGAGCATAATTCCGTAACTTTTCCATCAAATTTCATTCCTTTGGTGTCATTACCATCAGGGAAAAGATTCTCTATCATTTCATAAGAAAATATTTTTTTTTTTTTTTTTCAAAAATTTTTCGACACCAGAAGACACCTCAGGATTTGAGGTTTCGACAGTCAAGGGGTTAATGAGGGATTTTAACTTTAGCCAAACTGACTAGAACAATTTCATTGGAAATTTAATCTAGTGTCTTAGCAGAAAAAGAGGATATAGCCTAGTTGACCTGATTCAGACAAACAAGGAAGGAAAAAGCAATCATCAGTCATTTCGTTTCAAATATCACTGGGCTAACTTGATATCATTATCATGAGGAAGACCAGATGGACAGTGGAGATGATTGCCAGACTGACATTTTCCAGATTGTTGTGCAAGCTGCCTCTTGTGCAGGCTACTGCATTACTATGATAAAATTACTTACAGTTTTGTAATATAAAATCTTCATAATGTGGAAAAGAATGTGTCCACAAAATGCCAACAGTAGCCTGCACAAAAAGTCCTAATCAAGAAATTTGATGAAACAAAAATTAACCTATATGGATAATCAACAGCCTAAAAATCTCTTGGGGTAAGAAAAAAAAAGGAGGGAGGGGGACGAGAGGCATTTATAAGTGAATCAAAAGAGAAGGGTTACCTAATTTTTTTTTTTTTATTATCACACCGGTCGATTCCCACCAAGGCAGGGTGGCCCGAAAAAGAAAAACTTTCACCATCATTCACTCCATCACTGTCTTGCCAGAAGGGTGCTTTACACTACAGTTTTTAAACTGCAACATTAACACCCCTCCTTCAGAGTGCAGGCACTGTACTTCCCATCTCCAGGACTCAAGTCCGGCCTGCCGGTTTCCCTGAACCCCTTCATAAATGTTACTTTGCTCACACTCCAACAGCACGTCAAGTATTAAAAACCATTTGTCTCCATTCACTCCTATCAAACACGCTCACGCATGCCTGCTGGAAGTCCAAGCCCCTCGCACACAAAACTTCCTTTACCCCCTCCCTCCAACGTTTCCTAGGCCGACCCCTACCCCGCCTTCCTTCCACTACAGACTGATACACTCTTGAAGTCACTCTGTTTTGCTCCATTCTCTCTACATGTCCGAACCACCTCAACAACCCTTCCTCAGCCCTCTGGACAACAGTTTTGGTAATCCCGCACCTCCTCCTAACTTCCAAACTACGAATTCTCTGCATTATATTCACACCACACATTGCCCTCAGACATGACATCTCCACTGCCTCCAGCCTTCTCCTCGCTGCAACATTCATCACCCATGCTTCACACCCATATAAGAGCGTTGGTAAAAGTATACTCTCATACATTCCCCTCTTTGCCTCCAAGGACAAAGTTCTTTGTCTCCACAGACTCCTAAGTGCACCACTCACTCTTTTCCCCTCATCAATTCTATGATTCACCTCATCTTTCAAAGACCCATCTGCTGACACGTCCACTCCCAAATATCTGAATACATTCACCTCCTCCATACTCTCTCCCTCCAATCTGATATTCAATCTTTCATTACCTAATCTTTTTGTTATCCTCATAACCTTACTCTTTCCTGTATTCACCTTTAATTTTCTTCTTTTGCACACCCTACAAATTCATCCACCAATCTCTGCAACTTCTCTTCAGAATCCTCCAAAGAGCACAGTGTCATCAGCAAAGAGCAGCTGTGACAACTCCCACTTTGTGTGTGATTCTTTATCTTTTAACTCCACGCCTCTTGCCAAGACCCTCGCATTTACTTCTCTTACAACCCCATCTATAAATATATTAAACAACCACGGTGACATCACACATCCTTGTCTAAGGCCTACTTTTACTTGGAAATAATTTCCCTCTTTCCTACATACTCTAACTTGAGCCTCACCATCCTCGTAAAAACTCTTCACTGCTTTCAGTAACCTACCTCCTACACCATACACCTGCAACATCTGCCACATTGCCCCCCTATCCACCCTGTCATACGCCTTTTCCAAATCCATAAATGCCACAAAGACCTCTTTAGCCTTATCTAAATACTGTTCACTTACATATTTCACTGTAAACACCTGGTCCACACACCCCCTACCTTTCCTAAAGCCTCCTTGTTCATCTGCTATCCTATTCTCTGTCTTACTCTTAATTCTTTCAATAATAACTCTACCATACACTTTACCAGGTATACTCAGCAGACTTATCCCCCTATAATTTTTGCACTCTCTTTTATCCCCTTTGCCTTTATACAAAGGAACTATGCATGGTCTCTGCCAATCCCTAGGTACCTTACCCTCTTCCATACATTTATTAAATAATTGCACCAACCACTCCAAAACTATATCCCCACCTGCTTTTAACATTTCTATCTTTATCCCATCAATCCCGGCTGCCTTACCCCCTTTCATTTTACCTACTGCCTCACGAACTTCTCCCACACTCACAACTGGCTCTTCCTCACTCCTACAAGATGTTATTCCTCCTTGCCCTATACACGAAATCACAGCTTCCCTATCTTCATCAACATTTAACAATTCCTCAAAATATTCCCTCCATCTTCCCAATACCTCTAACTCTCCATTTAATAACTCTCCTCTCCTATTTTTAACTGACAAATCCATTTGTTCTCTAGGCTTTCTTAACTTGTTAATCTCACTCCAAAACTTTTTCTTATTTCAACAAAATTTGTTGGTAACATCTCACCCACTCTCTCATTTGCTCTCTTTTTACATTGCTTCACCACTCTCTTAACCTCTCTCTTTTTCTCCATATACTCTTCCCTCCCTGCATCACTTCTACTTTGTAAAAACTTCTCATATGCTAACTTTTTCTCCCTTACTACTCTCTTTACATCATCATTCCACCAATCGCTCCTCTTCCCTCCCGCACCCAATTTCCTGTAACTACAAACTTCTGCTGAACACTCTAACACTACATTTTTAAACCTACACCATACCTCTTCGACCCCACTGCCTATGCTCTCATTAGCCCATCTATCCTCCAATAGTTGTTTATATCTTACCCTAACTGCCTCCTCTTTTAGTTTATAAACCTTCACCTCTCTCTTCCCTGATGCTTCTATTCTCCTTGTATCCCATCTACCTTTTACTCTCAGTGCAGCTACAACTAGAAAGTGATCTGATATATCTGTGGCCCCTCTATAAACATGTACATCCTGAAGTCTACTCAACAGTCTTTTATCTACCAATACATAATCCAACAAACTACTGTCATTTCGCCCTACATCAAATCTTGTTATACTTATTTATCCTCTCTTTCTTAAAATATGTATTACCTATAACTAAACCCCTTTCTATACAAAGTTCAATCAAAGGGCTCCCATTATCATTTACACCTGGCACCCCAAACTTACCTACCACACCCTCTCTAAAAGTTTCTCCTACTTTAGCATTCAGATCCCCTACCACAATTACTCTCTCACTTGGTTCAAAGGCTCCTATACATTCACTTAACATCTCCCAAAATCTCTCTCTCTCCTCTGCATTCCTCTCTTCTCCAGGTGCATACACGCTTATTATGACCCACTTCTCGCATCCAACCTTTACTTTAATCCACATAATTCTTGAATTTACACATTCATATTCTCTTTTCTCCTTCCATAACTGATCATTAACATTACTGCTACCCCTTCCTTTGCTCTAACTCTCTCAGATACTCCAGATTTAATCCCATTTATTTCCCCCCACCCGAAACTCCCCTACCCCATTCAGCTTTGTTTCGCTTAGGGCCAGGACATCCAACTTCTTTCATTCATAACATCAGCAATCATCTGTTTTTCTTGTCATCCGCACTACATCCACGCACATTTAAGCATCCCAGTTTTATAAAGTTTTTCTTCTTCTCTTTTTTAGTAAATGTCTACAGGAGAAGGGGTTACTAGCCCATTGCTCCCGCATTTTAGTCGCCTCATACGACACGCATGGCTTACGGAGGAAATATTCTTTTCCACTTCCCCATGGACAATAGAAGATATAAAGAAGAACAAGAGCTATTTAGAAAAAAGGGAAAAACATAGATGTATGTATATATATATGCATGTGCGTGTCTGTGAAGTGTGACCAAAGTGTAAGTAGGAGTAGCAAGATATCCCTGTTATCTAGTGTGTTTATGAGACAGAAAAAGAAACCAGCAATCCTACCATCATGCAAAACAGTTACAGGTTTCTGTTTCACAGTCATCTGGCAGGATGGTAGTACTTCCCTGGGTGGTTGCTGTCTACAAACCTACTACCCATAAGGGTTACCTTATGGGTCAATAATTCAGATCAGCTTACTGATAATGATGAAGAAATGTTTACCATTTTTATCACTTATTTCCTCTTCGTTTTTCCACAAGAAGATACAAGTGAAATTGCAGAAATCAATAGCAGAGGTTGGAACAAAAACAAATTATTGAAGATTACAGTCACTAGTGACAAGGTTCTCAGACAGGTAGACGGATTAAAACCAAACAAATCACCAGCCCCAACAAGCTGTTTTCAAGGCTAAGGAATATATAGAGAAGCCTAACAAGCCATTAATTAGTCTAGTCAATAAATCACTACAAATAGATATAGACCTAAACATATGTAAAATGGCAAATGTGATACCTATATACAAAGGGAAGACCGGTCCTAGTATCAAATTACAGGCCTATAAGCCTAACCTTAACTGTTGTAAAATTAATGGAATCAATAACTGCAGATGCAATTTGAAGCCACTATGAAGGACATGCTGGTCAGTGAATCTCAATAAGGGTTTACAAAAAGGCATTCTTACTTTATTTTACAAACCTTTTTCACTAATTTGAGGAAGTGGACCATATAATATGACATTATATACATGAATTTCAGTAAGGCCTTTCACAGAGTTCCACACAGGAAATTGATGATAGTGCCACAAGGTAATGGAGGTAAAATTCCTTTCTGGATCATGGCATGGTTGACAGATAGGCAACGGAGTTTGCACAAGCGACAGAAAAACTGAACTGTGACCCATTACAATATTCCACAGAGGTCAGCCTTGGACCCCTTATTATTCATAATTTACATAAGACAGATGAAGGAATAAATAGCAAAACAGAAGTCTGCTGGACACAAAAATAGGCCATCAAATAGCTGCTGATGAGGACACCAGGGAGCTACATGATTGGGACTAGATGATGGAGAAGTCACAGATGCAGTTTAAGGTGGACAAATGAAAAAAATTGTAATCCTGGTAAAAGAAAATACTCTAACTATATATGGCACTTATAAACTAAATAATGTAAATCATAATCAGACAATGTAAAAAATAATGAAGTTATCAGAAATCCGAAAACCAAGACAATAGTGCAAGAGTTTTCATAAAAAAGCTAATAGAATTCTTGCTTTCACATCAGGCAGCATAAATAGTAGAAGCAGTGAGTATAGTGAGGCTCAGGTTAGAGTATGTAGAGGGAGATAATTTCCCAGTAAAAGTAGGCCTTAGACAGGGATGTGTGATGTCACCATGGTTGTTCAATATATTTATAAATGGAGTTGTAAGAGAAGTGAATGCTCAGGTGTTGGCAAGAGATGAGGGATTAAAAGATAAAGAATCTAACACAAAGTGGGAGTTGTCACAGTTGCTCTTTGCTGATGACACTGTGCTTTTGAGAGATTCTGAAGAGAAGTTGCAGAGGTTGGTTGATGAGTTTGGTAGGGTATGTAAAAGAAGGAAATTAAAAGTGAATATAGGAAAGAGTAAGGTGATGAGGATAACAAAAAACTTTGGTAATGGAAGATTGGATATGAGATTGGAGGGAGAGAGTATGGAGGTGAATGTGTTCAGATATTTGGGAGTGGACATGTCAGCAGATGGGTTGATGAAGGATGAGGTGAATCATAGAACTGACGAGGGGAAAAAAGTGAATGGTGCACTGAGAGTCTGTGGAGACAAAGAACTTTATATATGAAAGCCAAAAGAAGAATGTATAAGAATATAGTTATACCAATGCTGTATGGGTGTGAGGCATGGGTTGTGAATGGTATAACAAGGAGAAGGCTGGAGGCAGTGGAGATGTCATGTCTGAGGGCAATGTGTGGTGTGAATATAATGCAGAGAATCAGTAGTTTGGAGATTAGGAGGAGGTGCAGGAGTACCAAAACTATTATTCAGAGGGCTAGGAGGGGTTGAGAAGGTTTGGACATATAGAGAGGACGGAATGAAATTGAATGACTTCGAGTGTACAAATCTGTAGTGGAGGGAAGGCAGGGTAGGGGTCAGCCTAGGAAAGGTTGGAGGGAGGGGGTAAAAGAGATTTTGTGTGCGAGGGGCTTGGACTTCCAGGAAGCATGCGTGAGCGTATTAGATAGGAGCGAATGGAGACAAATGGTTTTTAGGACTTGACGTGCTGTTGGAGTATAAGCAAGGTAACATTTATGAAGGGATTCAGGGAAACCAGCAGGCTGGACTTGACTCCTGGAGATGGGAAGTACGTACAGTGCCGGCACTCTGAAGGAGGGGTGTTAATGTTGCAGTTTTATAACTGTAGTGTAAGCATGCCTCTGGCAAGACAGTGATGGAGTGAATGATAATGCAAGTTTTTTTTTTTAGGCCACCCTGCCTTGGTGGGAAATGGCCGATGTGTAATAAAAATAAATATCTTTAGTAAAGCCTTATTTACATTATACTGTTCAGTTCTTGTCTATATATTGCAGAATAAACAAATACACTGGAAAGCCTAGAGAAATGACGAAGTTGATCCTCTGTACCAATATTATTACTATTATATTCAAGGGGAGAGCTAAATCCACAGAAGTCATACACTGCCTGGGGTGTTCATTATATAAGAGAGGTATTAAAAAAGAGTAAATAAGTGAACTAAGTACTCTACTGTGTACCTAATACAGTATAGTACTGTACACACAATTCACAGATATACTGCAATAAACACAAAAAATAAAAGGAGTTAATCGTACAATTTAACCAGCAGATTTTGTTTATAATTTCCAATCTGTAATATTGAGGTTTGTTATATCAACAGTTTATTGTAAGGTAAGACACATATGCAACAGTTAGGTATCTTTATTTTGAAACGTTTCGCCTACACAGTAGGCTTCTTCAGTCGAGTACAGAAAAGTTGATAGAAGCAGAAGATACTTGAAGACGATGTAATCAGTCCATCACCCTTAAAGTTTTGAGGTGGTCAGTCCCTCACTGACCACCTCAAAACTTTAAGGGTGATGGACTGATTACATCGTCTTCAAGTATCTTCTGCTTCTATCAACTTTTCTGTACTCGACTGAAGAAGCCTACTGTGTAGGCGAAACGTTTCAAAATAAAGATACCTAACTGTTGCATATGTGTCTTACCTAACAATCTGTCGGTATTTTATACCATTTTAATGTTCAGTTTATTGTAAGTTTAATCTAAGGAAAGGGAATAACAGGTTTAATTCCTTGGATCAAGAGCCCCACACCTGCATCAAGGTACCTCCCCAGAGGGGTCCTCTATAAGAAACCCTACCTAAAAAGATAGGCTGAAGGCATAAAATCTGAACCCTTGGGAAATGTGTAAATTTGGGGAAGACATGACTGAAGCGTACAAATCAGAAGTGGATGACCAGAATAAATACCATCCTAAAAAATAAGTAACAATGACAGAACTTGCAATCATGGAATTAGGTTGGACAATTTAGGTTTAAAAGATATAGAAAAACATAAGTTTGGAAACAGAGCTGAAGAGTGAAACTAACTCCCAAGTAATGTTACTGAATCGAGTACTTTGGATAGGTAAGCAAGTGGATATGGTCAATTGTGAGTGGGACCTGTATCACGGGCTGGTAGACCTAAAGCAGTGCCCCAGTATTCTTCTGTTCCTATTAGGTCCTTTAGGAATCTAACCCTTGCAAATACAGGGGGGTTAACTGCATTTCATTTTAATAATTTTAATGGATGCTTACCTATTTCTGAATTAAGATGTGGATGTACTCTCTGCATGGCCTCTCTCACCATGTGTGTCTGCTTCAAAGCCAACTGTAGAGGGTAAAGATAAGAAAACATTTATATCTGTAAAAGTAGACTAAATATTGTACAGATAACAAAACTTTATATATTAAAACAGCAATGTTAATATAAAGAAGCATTAGTGCAAGATTTATTGACAATTATAGCTACTCAGTATAATAATTACTAGGGGTAGAAATACAGCACTGACAGAATGCTAACTGGAATGCAACAAGCATGTTTCATTATGATAAACAGAAGAATGGACAGGGACTTAAACCACTGTCTATATTCTTAGTTTATGCTACATTAGATATACATATTTAACATTTATATCTGACCTACATAAAAACACCTGAATCTGATGTAAATTTAACACTATTGTAGCAAAACTTAGCAGATAAGGAGCTTTTAGAATCTTGTAGTGTGTGCCACATTTCTGGGCTATCATTTGCACCGAGCTTCTACTCAGGTTGAGTCAAACACACTGGACATCAAATACAGTGGACCCCCGGTTAACGAACTTTTTTCATTCCAATAGTATGTTCAGGTGCCAGTACTGACCGAATTTTTTCCCATAAGGAATATTGTGAAGTAGATTAGTCCATTTCAGACCCCCAAACATACACGTACAAATGCACTTACATAAATACACTTACATAATTGGTCGCATTTGGAGGTGATCGTTAAGCGGGGGTCCACTGTATAGTAAATCCTCTCATAATATACATGAGAAATGTTCCTGAAAATCAGTGCCTTATGGAAATCAGCAATACATGAAGTGAAGAACACATGAGAAAAACAGGGTCATGCTTCACAGACCTGGTTTGTCTAACAACTTAGCATTTAATACAGTGTTCTAATAGGTAGAACTTACCTTTCATTCTAGTTCTCAATGCTTGTTGGCATGGAAGTGTGATAAGTTTTGCGCCTCATCTAAACACTAAACAGAGCCTCTTTCCATATTTTTTCTCAGCCCATACATTCAGTAACTTTTTTATCATGTTAGCTGTACTGACCTCTGTGACAGATAAAAGGCACAAAAATATAGAACTCTACCTGATAATACAAAAAAAATCCCCATCTGTCAATGACCTCAATAACACTGAAAAACACCTAAATATGATGTGAATGTTTTATTATATAAACTGACTGTAAATGCTCATGCATTATTGTTAGTACTATGATTCTACCACCTAATAATCAAGTCAGTCAAAATTACTCTCCCTTCCCTTCAAGTCATGTGCCTTACTAACTTAGCATACTAGCACTCTAATCTTAACACATGCAATATAAATTATTGTCAGATCTGTAATCATTTAGTATTATTAAATTTCAAGTCTAGTTTAAGTTTGCCTGATATGCTGTTTATACTGTGGGCTTCTTAATTTTTTAAGTATACTTTATTTCTGTATAATTTGAAAATAAAAAATCTGATTCTGATGAGATGTGTTTGAAGGTGTTTTAGCAATGGAAAATGTGGATACTGAGTTTCTGAGAATGTGGCATTAGCATTAGTGATGTAAAGAAAGGAACATCTCTGCACCAACAGCACTGTTATGTCTAAATCTCACTGATATAACTGCATCTGCCAATGTGGTACTGGTAATAATTGTTTGTCTAAAGTATAATAACCATCATAAGTGACTCATCAAAAAATTTTAGAAATAATCAAGTAAATTAGAAAAATAAGCTTTTGTCTATGACCCAACACCTGCTAGGATTCTCAGTACCTAGACCAGCATCACAGGAACTTTTCCTTGAAGGGAAGATTTCCTTCAATTTGAATAATATACCTATCCCCCTAGCCACTTCCCACAAACTGTTGTGGAGTCATTATTATTATAATTAAAACCATTGCTAAACAGGTGATGGGGGCTGTTAACAGTGTCATCAATTCTCACACAGAGAGAACCAGGGATTGCTATCCAGTAAGATAAGATTTATTCAGATATTTAACCAAAAGAGTTAGAACATAAGAGAGAGTGGGCACTGCAGCAGGCCTACTGACCACACTAGGCAGGTCCAAGTTACAACTACTTAAGAAGGAAGAATAACCCAAGAAAGTAGTGCATCATCAGAGACTATTTTATTTCCATTGAAGTCCCCCAGGATGCAACCCACACCAGTAGACTAACACCCAGGTATGTACTTGCTGCTAGGTGAACAGGGGCAACAGGTGTAAAGAATCATGCCTGGCATTTCCACCTGTGTTGGGGATTGAACCACAGACACTCAGTATGTAAGGCAAGAGCGTTGTTAACCAAGCCACAGGACACTGGGTGAAAATGTTTCCTTACACCTGCTGCCCATTCACCTAGCAGTAAATAGGTACCTGTCTGATAGTTGACTATTGTGTATCACATCCTAGAGAAGAAGCTTAAAAGGATTGTAACTGGAATAAGTCCACAATAATACACTGACTTAATTATGGTTATCCTGGGTTGCTAAGCCTCTGGGTTAAAAATCCCAACAAAATCTCATCTCTATGTTAATATGTACGGGGCCCATAGAGAGAGAATAGGAAACATCTGAATATTATTAGTCATGGAAAGCACTAAACCCGTATGGAGCCACAGTTGTGGGGCCTATACAGCACTAAACCCGTAGGGAGCCAAAATTGTGGAACCCATACAGCACTTAACCCGTAGGGAGCTACAGTTGTGGGGCCCACACGGCACTAAACCCGTAGGGAGCGTACAGAGGACAGAAAACGTGATCATCATTATAACATTAAGGGGGGAAGCACTAAACTCGTAGGAGTTATACAACACCTAGAGGAATGGGAGGCAATCAAGTACGATCCATGGAAAGGGAGATCAAATTCAATTCTATGGATCAAGAGCCCTTCACCGGCATCAAGAACCCCCTAAAAAAAACACATGATCAACATGTGTATTCCTCAATACATAACACATTTCTCAAGTAACCAGGTCAGTAATGAACGCTAAACTCCTCAGGTAGCCCACCTCACTGTCCCTGGAACCGATCCTGATGAGGTCCTTGCCTCCAGCTTGTCCATTTCCATTAGACTCCATGATAAATATTGGTGGAGAAAGTAGAGTGTGTGTGTGCAGCAGCAGGACCGGCGGTGCTGTCCAAGCCACCCTCAAACCATCATACCATTAACTAACAAGTCAAGGCTTTCTTGCTGGCAATCTAGCTTTAAACATAAGGATAACAGCTATTACAGTGTTTTTGCTTCAAATAACCAATGGAAAAAACAAAGACTTTTTAATTATTTAAGTTAAATATTTGGGAATATGGTCTGGAGTTTGATACTTACTTGGACTCGCAGCTATGATTCTTCACTTATTTATTGGGATTCCCAGAAGGATTATACCTGTTACTGGGTTTTTTTCCTCCTGCAAGGTTTTAGTTTATAAATCGACTTCATATTTTCACCCCTGGATATATGTAACCATAGGAGGGTTAGTGTAACTATTGGCATGTGAAAATGTCCTCTGGTTTAGTTTATATGAACCAATAGTAAGTTTACTTAGGTGCAATTTTACACAAATTTTGGATGACTGCAGTTGCCTGATTAGGATAATTCCAGAAAAGTCTAAGTGAATTATTTTAATTGTGGTCATTGTGATTCAATACTTTTACCAGCCTAGCCATTAGATGCAGTAAAAATCAATTGTAATTACTAACAGTATTAACAAAAAAAAAAAACGAATAAATCAACCAAGTCACGGGGTTGACAACGTTCTCGCCTCACACACTGAGTGTCCATGGTTCAGTTCCCGGCACAGGTGGAAACATTGGGCATGTTTCCGTACACCTGTTGTCTCTGTTCATCTAGAAGTATGTAGGTACCTGGGTGTTAATAACCTTACACCTGCTATCCTTTTTCACCTAACAGTAAGTAGGTACCTGGGTGTTAGTCGACTGGTGTGGGCCACACCGTAGGGGACAAGACTGAAGGACCACAATGGGAATAAAAACGACAGTCCTCGATAACGCACTACATTCATGGGTTATCCTGGGTGGCTAACCCTTCCCCTGGTTAAAAATCCCAACAAATTTTATCTTATCCTCATCACACTAAGAATAGATGCCATAGGAATAAAATGAAGTGAGTAAATCACATACATAAGAATTAATTAAATAAGCATTAAAAAGAAGAAATCAGTCGAATAAAACAGTTAAACGAATATTAGCTATACAAGAAATCACTTTCCTCCATTTCTTATCTTATCATTCATTAGGTACTTGTTTAACTCTCTTCCTAAACTGGTTTATAATAAGACTGACCTTGACGTGATCAGGCAACCCGTTCCAATCGTTTATTGTTTTTGTAGTAGTTATTTGAGGCCTGACTACCTACTGCTCCTACAAAATTTGCAGCAAGATATTCTGGATACCATGAGCAATTTGTAAATATGATTCAACTTCAGCTGCCTTACCTTAGCTTCAATATTAAGCATTTCCAGTTGCTGTAATTCATCCTGGCTACCATGGAAATCAATTACACGACTTGATCTTATCGAGTTATCCTAGTTTAAACCTGCACAGTGTAGTTTTTTATGTGCCAAGAGCATCAGTGTATCCTTTGTCCAGCCCACTGCTATTACACAGTTTGGCTTATTTCCTTTGCGGTTGTTTAATACTCTCCATCATGTTGCGACCCACACTAGGCGCCTGACACCAGGTACCAACTTAACTGTTAAAAATGATGTACCGTACCTAGACGATGATAACAGTTTTGTCAGGGATCTCATCTAAATGGTGACCCTGCCCCTACGACAAGGACAGCCCTATGGCAAGGCCCGGTTCGGGGTCAAGTGGGGTACCGTTCACAACCCTGCGACAGGAGCATAACGAGTCTTCTTCGGGCCAGGTGTGGTACCGTTCACAGCCCTATGACAAGGACATAGCGAGTCTTCTTCGGGTCAAGTGCGGTACCATTCACAACCCTATGATGGGGAAAGCCCTATGTCGAAGACACGAGAAGTCTTGAGTGCAAGTAGTGCAGCAGCTAGCTACAATTGTCTCAGACGCCCTGTAGCTGGGGCACAGTACATCGGGTCAAGTGGTGTCGTGAGTGATTGTGTCCGTAAACATGTCTGCTATTTTCCTCAACACACAAATAGGTGAGTGTACACACACACGAGTATACATACACACACGAGTATACATACACACACGAGTATACATACACACACGAGTATGCATACACACACGAGTATACATACACACGAGTATACATACACACACGAGTATACATACACACACGAGTATACATACACACACGAGTATACATACACACACGAGTATGCATACACACACGAGTATACATACACACACGAGTATACATACACACACGAGTACAAGCACTCACACATATATGAGTACACAAATACACATGCAAACACACACACACACACACACACACACACACACACACACACACACACACACACACACACACACACACACACACACACACAGGCGGGGCCAGGAGCTAGGACTCGACCCCTGCAACCACAAATAGGTGAGTACACACACACAGCACCAGTTTGGAACCCACACCTGGTCAAGCACGTCAAGAAATTAGAGAAAATGCAGAGGTTTGCAACAAGGCTAGTTCCGTAGCTCAGGGGTGTGTCCTACGAAGAAAGGTTGAGGGAAATCAGACTGACGACATTGGAGGACAGGAGGGTCAGGGGAGACATGATAATGACATACAAAATACTGCGTGGAATAGATAAGGTGGACAGAGACAGGTTGTTCCAGAGACGGGACACAGAAACAAGGGTCACAATTGGAAGCTGAAGACTCAGACGAGTCAGAGGGATGTTAGAAAGTATTTCTTCAGTCGTAGAGTCGTCAGGAAGTGAAAGTGATGTAGTAGAGGCAGGAACCATACATAGCTTAAGACGGTATGAGAAGTTGGCAGAGGGTGTAGCAATCCCCGGGGCGGGCCGGTCTGCTGACCAGCCTCAACACATAGGTGTGACACACACACTATACAACACAGGAGTTCATCCACGAGCATACACCACGCAAACACAACGTACACCACAGCCACACGAGCTATCAAACACGGTAACTGACTTTAGGTTCTGTCACAGGCACAGTATGAGACTTCCAGAGGGTCTGAATACACTGGTAATCCTCACACATATTGATTCTGAGGCAGCTTGAACATCATTACCACCCATACATAATATCGCATGGTCCTTAACGGCAATAGTGACACCACACTGCTTTTACATTGGGGGGATGGTTGCATAGCTGCCAAGTCTTTGACCACGTAGGTGGTAGTGACTTCCAAGTCGTGCAATTTGGAGCTAGTCACTTAGGATTTGCCAGGTGTATATGAATCAGTGTATCTTCCCTCCTGGTTTTTCTCAGCGAATACAGGTTGTAAAACCTCAAGCGACACTACCAGTAATTCGAGTGATTGATCTACCATTATGCGTGGTGAAAGTTGCATGTACAGTTTTTCCTAACGGGCATCAAGGCAATTTCACCTGCTTGGAAAGGTTATTCTTCAGTAGAGTTCGTCAGAGCATATTCCAGCCTAGATAGACAATGCCTTTTAAGACGAGGTATGACAAAGCTCAGGAAGCAGAGAGAGGACCTAGTTTGCGATCATATGAAGAGGTCGGGCGCAGGAGCTGAGTCTCGACCCCTGCAACCACATTAGGTGAGTAGCAACACACACACACCGCACACACACAACACCACACACAACATTCACACACACACATACACACACAAACCACACACGTGGTAATGCTTTATTTACAGGGAGCAAAGTCCAGGGTATTTTCCAGAATGGTCTGTAATATACACTGTGGATAAAATACTTAGACATATCTCGAACATTTCTGAGTGAGTTTTCTTTGAATGCATTAATTTTATCACACTCCATTACATAATGACGCAGGGTGTGGCAATAGTCCATCTGGCAAAGTTTACATTTCGTTTGGTTTACATCTGGTGGTGGTGATTAAGCATGCCAAAGATACTTGTAACCCAGCCGGAGCCGGGCGGTAGTGACATCCAAGAGTCTGCTTATTTTGTTGGATGCACCATAGACATGTGGCTCCTCCTGCATGATGGAATGGTGATAGATGGACTGACTGGTGTCAGTCTTCCTCAGTCTTAAGTATTATTTTTCTCAAACTGCTGACAACCCAAGATTGTAATCGACTCCCTCTCTGAAAGCGTACAGCTTAGCCAATGTATTCCATCATGCATCTGAAGACCATTTAGATCTGTGTGTGAAATTGCATTAAGTTTTATAACCTGCATGAACTGTAGGCAACAAGAGCATTTCACCCCTCCATGGAAGATGTGTTCATTTAATATCACATACCTGCAAGTTCCTCCCAAGAAGCTCATTACTAGTAATCCCTTCCTTAAATCACTTGTTAAAGCATCTGCTCAAGAAGGAATTTCTCGCCTAGCTGGTAGTAATAATTTATCACAAGTTATATACACTGATGGATCTAAACAGGAGTCTTCTGGCAGGGCTGCATCTGCTCTTGTTGCCACCTCCCTAGTTAAGAACGATAATAAATTTGTTGAGTTAGGCATACGAATTAACAACTGGGCGTCTACACTGCAAACTGAATTGTTTGCAATCCTAATGGCGCTAAAGCTAACCTATGACATTGAGCTTGACTCTATCATCATTACTGATTCTATGTCATCATTGAAGGCTCTTGACTCATATAATGACTCCAATAACATGCTCATTGGGGAAACCAGGTATAGATACTCAAAAAATCAGGGACAAATTCAATTCAATTAAATTCAATTCAAAGTTTATTCTCTATAAGGATTACAATGCTGGATTTACAGAATTTGGTTATTGTGTGGTTTACATGTAGTTAAATAATGATTACAGAGTGTACCACTAGAACACCTAGCATGGCTAGGCATTTCAGGCAGACTTAGTTTAATTCTTTATTTTAAAATATTACAAATTATGAGGTAAGTTGGTATTATGGCTAAGTGACTAAATACTAGTTTGTGAGTTTAGCAATGTGAATGCTTTTGTTTTGGCACAGTACATAGTTTCAGTATTGGAGTATCATAGGATTCATTATTTTAAGATTGAGATTAATATTTCTGTTTATGGTCAAATGGGTGAGTGAAAGTGTGAAC